ATGTGAAGGAAAAAAAAATTCTATCATCATTTTACTCTGGTAAACTAGTTCTTAAAAATTCCATCCGAATGTTTATAATAGTGATTTCAATGATGAAGTTGGATGTTTTTTGTCAACTTCAGTTTCAGATATAAATTAGCTGAGATGTCTTCGAAAGAATAAACTGTGCTTCTTTCAGTAATACAAAATTGATAAAAGTGGTATGAGTTTTCAGCTTAGCATGATGCCTTCAATTAAAATTAAAATTTTATGGCTTTGATTTAGCCATTTTGGAAAAGCTTATTAATTGTTCTTTACATTAATCCATCCAGTAGATTTATCCATCTAGTAGAATTTTTTGTACTGCAGTTTCAGAATATATTGTAATTGAATTGCAAGTTGATAACATTTCATCATACTGAATTTAAAATACACAGCACTACGAAAATGAAAATGATAATCTTATGGTATAAGAAATATTAAAATAAAATAGTATTAACTATTTTTAAAATAATAAAGAATTTTAACTTTTATTAATTGTAATGTTTCAAATATTTAATGTCGAATGTATAATTATTCTGAGAATGAGTTAAATATAGAATGCAAATTAAACAATTTTGAATATGAACATTCAAAATGATAAAGAAAGGAATTCTGAGTAATAATAACTAAAATATAAAAAGTATGACTTTCAACCATTATTGGAAATATTGAAAATATTAATAATTTTAAAACTGAAAATTTATAATGAAATTGAATACATGTAATGCAATTAAAAAGTGTAATGGGTAAGTGAAAAGTAATTTCAAGTTATGATATATGGCTGTTATAATTATGTGATGAATAATTGAATGTAGAGTATGTTGAGGGAGTACCGGTTCAGAAATACAAGAATAATTATTAGCTCTGTGTAATTTTTTTTTTATTCTCCACATACAATATAAACTTTGAAGGCTCACACCTTATAATTTTTTCATACCTATTTATTATTTTTATTCTATATATGTAATGGAGTGTGGGTTTAATTTTTTATGTACAAAGGAATGTTTCAGTGCAGTTCCCATAGGCCAGTTATCTTAAGGCCACTTATCACATAGGCCCCCATAGAACACTTATCAGTAAGGAACAGAGGACTTTATAAGTAACTACCAGAGCAGCCCTTAACCACTGTTGAATTAATGCACCATTCGGTTTATTGAATTTGCCCAACAGATGGACACATTTGTATTTGGAGAAAGATGTGAGGTCTTCAAGTTCCGTGTAAAATAAGAAAATAAGAAATTTAATAATAACAGTAAAAACCATATTTCAGTAATACCATTATAAAATTTATGATGTTAAAATGTAAGTTATAATAATGAAAATTAGTTACGCTATGAAATTTTTAAAATTTGTTGTGATTATTCGAAAGAAGTAACGGGTGTATGAAAATTTTATAATTGTGATATTGTGTATAATGTTTTGAAAGGCCTTCCCTGAAAAAATGCGATTATGTGGAATAGACTTTTGGAATGAAAATTTACAAAGGACAAAAATATTAGCAAAGTTTATATTTTTCAATTATTTAAACAACTATTTTGGATAAAATTTTATTATCTGTATTTTTCAAGATCTGTATTTAAAAAATTATTTCTCTTCATTTGCTAATGTTTTAGCACTTTATATCATAAAGGCTATTCAGTTGCCAAGCCTTTTTCTCTTTGAAGGGGAGGGAAATGTACGCGTAAAAATCAAAGTCATAATTTAAACTAGTAATAGCCTTTAATTCCCCCTCTCTATTTTAAAATAGTAATGACTTTTTCTGGACTGTTCCATTTCGAGATCAATCTATACATACAACTTGATGACGTAGCTAATTCAGAACTTAAAACAAAACTTTCCCTTAATAAGCTATCATATTGGATTAACTGAGCACTTTTGCTTCTACTTCTGTTCTCGCTAAGTCATTGCCTCACCGCTCTCTTCCTCACATCAGCATTCAAAATCTAAATGTTCTTGAACAGGCATGATTAGAGTGGCAAGTGAATTGTGGCTGCAAATGTCAATTAAAATAAAGATGAATATTTAATCTGGCACAGCTGCCAAGTTCGCTTTTTGATACAGACCAACAAGTATCAAAATTCTGACTGCTTCTAATATATTCAATGTTCTATGCCATCATAACTTCTAAGTTTGCTTTATTATACGCATTTGAATTATGTTCCCCTATAATGTCTTGTAAGCTGATTGCACCAATTTGCAATAATATATTAATGTGGGCTTTTTGAAAATATATGTAAACCATCTTGAAATGGCATTGCATTATTTGCATGTTAGTCACATATGACATCTGCACTCTTATATGCTTATGTAATACTTTTGTCACTTATTTTATGACTGACATATTTTTTATTATTTAAATATATAACTATATCTTGCTGATTTTTTAAAACTAAATTCACATAGTATTGTTGTTATTTATTCAATTTACAGTAGATGCCATTTGTCTCAGTTTTGTTTCATATTTTAACTTTCCCCTGTAATAATAAATATATAACTTCTTTAAGAAACTGCATTAGCTAATTTCTAATATTTTTTAAGATGCTATAACTGTCTGAATGTTTCTGTTTTTAGACAGCATATATACATTTTGTTTTTCAGTTTATCACAGCTGTTAATTTAATAATTTCATTATTAAGGAAAATTTATTCAAATGTGGAATAAAAAAATGCATTTTTGATTTTTGAATGCTTTTGCAGCAGCTGCCAAATGATAACCTAAAAGCATATCAAAACTCATTTTTCTGAGTTGTCCTCCACTCTTCATTTGAATTTCTAAGAAATTTGTTGAACAGTACTTTAGTACTTTAATAATTAAAGAGTTTTTGCAGGTACACACAATTATGTTTATGAAGGAAGCTGCTGCAAAATATCATGCACATTTATTCAACAAGATTCAGTTAAGTGCTTGAAATGCAGATGGCAGAGTTCAGAATTTTGTTGACAGCTGACAAATGGAGTGCCTACCCTAAGGTCACCAATTTCACACAAATTCTACATAATTACGAAACATGTATGCACTGAATATGATTGGAAACATCCTGCGTGCATTGTGGAAATAAGCATTCCCAGAGTGCACTTCAATGAACGAGGCTGGAGTTCAAAAATATAAATAGATAAAAAGATTATTTGGAATTACACATAAAAATCAAGACTGAACTTCTAAGTAACATTCTTTTTATTACTCCATTTGCTACACGAACTTTATCTTCAGTGGTAACATATAGTGCCTGAAATAAGTCTGCTAATCAAATTCAACCCATAAGAGTTCTGATCTTTCAAAATTATTTTATTTTGAAAAGAATTTATTCATAAAAAATATTTTAAAGGAATTTATATACAAACTATAATGCAATAACACAATTCTGTAGAAAAATTACGTCTTATTTATTCTTATTTGTACTTTTCCACAAATTTATTTAAACTTTGCACAATATTTATTATCAGAACATTCAAAATATAAAATACTACCATCATGCATATTGAATAAATAATAATTTATAAGAATTAAAAATTTTATTGATAATTTGTATTTGTGAAATATAAAAATATAGAGGAGGAAAATGAGGGTCTATCCAAAATTGCAAAGATATATAAGAAACACGTCTATGAATATTAACCTCTCTGTCGTCCGTAATGCGTCTAGCATGTTCAAGTGAAACTTCTGCAGGGTGGCCATAATGCGCTTCAAGCATTGCTCTACATTTTAAAACTTTTAAACGTTTAAAATGCTTTCTAAATGTTTATTTGTTTTAGTTTTTATTTTTGTTTGTTCTAATACTTCCTAGAGGGCAGTACTAATCAGGCATTCTATTTCTAATTGAATTCCCCCCCCCCACAGTTTTATGAATATTCATGCCATTTTACATAAGATACAAGTCAGTGAGAGATCTTCAACGTCTACTCAGCAGAAAAAGAGAAAAAATGAGGTTGTGAATTGGAAAAACAAGAAGGATATAAATTTGATGAGTACAGTCCATAATAACTCTATGATTGATGTTGAAACACACAAAAGAACTGTAAAAAAACCAATAACTGTAAAAGATTACTACAACAAAATGAGAGGAGTAGATCGGCTGGATCAGATGTTATCAAATTAATCTTGCTGTTAGAAATAAGCAGAGATATTATTACTTTTCCATTATGCTTTATTTCCTTATAATTTTACTTAGTATTCATTTACATTCATCCACTATGTTATGTATGGAAAGTTAAGTATATACAGAGAAAACAACATTACATGCTGCGAAAAACAAAGGGTCACTGAGGAGAAATTTTCGCGGATAGGAGAGGACGGCAAAAGGGTTAATATTGTGCTTTAACTTACAATATTTACAGAAAAGTTGTAAAGAAAAGAATTTGAAATGCAATAACATACTATTTAATCAATGCCAGACTTTAATACTGCGAGCATCGTTACAATAAATATCATTTATCAATTTAAATAAATTTGCAAAAAAGTACAACAAAGGGGAAACAACCGGTTGTATTTTAAAAAAAACTTTGTGTTACACCTTTTTTTTACATTATTCCCTTTAAAAAGCTTTATAAACATGTTTTCATAAAAATAAGAAAATGCTAAATGAACTATCACACAGATTAGAAACAGCACGGTTACCAGCTAGACTCAAATTGCATTCTACTTTTATGAAGAGCCATATGTTGGAAACCAGGTTATAACTGGTTGCAGCAAATGTTGAAACTTGAATAATATGGATGTTACTTAAAAATTTAGGCTTGATTTGCATATTTCCAGATAAGATCTTTATAATTATGCAGAGCATGAAAGAAATCGCTAAACCACCAAGATCTTTTGAGAGAGATCCTTTTTGATCCTTTGTGCATGTCCTTTGTGAGAGAGGTTAAAAAATTCCTAAATATCAGAATGCTATATAACACTAGCATATATTAGATTAACCATAATCATGAAGTCCATCAACACCATAAAAATTCTACTTCTAATAATTACTAAGTGATAATTACCTTTAACTGTCATATCTCCTCCACTCAATTGCACTACATTAAGCGGCAGGAAAAATCCTTTAGGATAGAAGGAGAGAATACTACTAAGACAAGCCAATGCAAGAGATTTTACACTGATTCGAACATGTTTATCTGGTATACAGGAACCAGGCGTTCCACTTAATAAAAATGATGAACAAAGAAGTCTAGCACAGTATTTCAATGGTATATCAGCATCCGTAAATGTTCCTATGTTTCCTATCTGGAAGGTAAAAAGAATTCAATTTGGAATTGAATATGAAAGAATATTCTAGATTTAAACAGATCTTAACTTGAGAGGTATCAGAAACAATATTAAAATAACTTAAAACTCAATTATTTGAATCAAAATGCATTTCATTGAAACATATTATTTTGACCGGGCATCCTTAATAGCTTATAAATAGTTTATTTTTAATAGATTACAGCAGTTTTTAATTCATTGGCTATGAGTAATTTTTAATTAATTCAATAACCATACAAAAAGTTTGAAATAAAGATTCAGCTTTTTTATTTTATGACATAAACTGGAATAATAAGTCTGTTCTAGCAAATCACTAGACAGAAAATTTACAAGTACAGGTAAAAAAGTCTAATGTTTTTAAGTGCTATGGACATCTTTTTTTAAAGATACTGTTTCTGTTAGTTTTAATTTTATTTTTATCTTCCATGTACAACCTTAACATGCAAAAATAATTTACATGGGAAAAAGGAAAGTCTCTACATTATGCCAAGAGTTTTTACATTCATAGAGTAAATTCACATACACGTATCTGAATAATCTAATCCTTTGAAAATTTCAGGAATTTTTAACAGTTTTTATAGCATGCTCGTTTTTTTTTTTTTTTTTTAGAGGAATAATAAAGCAAGCAAATTTAAAAATCTATTAAGTTAGGTTTAAAAAAATTCTCGTTTTAACACTTTAAAAAATTTTATCTATCTTGCTATTCTTATATGCTAACATGTACAGAATAATAACATGTGGTTTTATAGGAATGTGTAGGGTCATTGTGAAACTTGAAATAAATAACTGCCATTAAATAACACAGCCTGTCATGTCCAAGTAGATAATGCCATGTCTGAAATGACATAAAATTTGCAGGGAAGGGGAAAACTTAAAGAATCTTGCTTTGAGCAAACATCTAGAAGTATTTTGGCTGCTAATTCTTTATTCTTATTATTTCCACTTATTTCCCTCTATAATTAAGTCTTTTGTTGTAACCACAGCAATAAGCAATGAAATTAATGCCAATTATGAAATGAAAACAATAAACTGTAAAAGATTATCCAGTGAAACATTGATGAAATATTTTTATATGAAAGGGATAGTTGCAGATGGTGAATCATAGTTAATATAAATTAGTAGATCACAAAAGATTGTGATTTAACTTCAAGTGATAATGATATGGAAACATATGGCAAAGAAAGTTATAAAAAATGGAAGAACCAAAATCATGTAAAATGCTCAGCTTCATTATATTATATGAGTAAAATAAAAATACTTGCACACCTGCTTTAATCAGTGAACTAACTAGACTGCATGACAAGAAACTAAACAGACTTTTCAGAATACATTACAATAAACACAAACATAATGCATTCTGCTAAAAGACGCCTTGTGTAGTGTGATACTACATGCAATGTTAAATTATCCAGCAAAGAAACCTATGACCCATTTTTTTTTCATATTTTTGGAAATTCATTCACTTCAAAATTATTAGTATATATATACAAGGACAGATTGAAAACTTTTAAGATTGATTCTACATCACTTTCCGATATTAAATTTTATAATTTTGTACCGGACTATTCAAGGTACCTAATTCACTTCATATGTCTGAAACTGCAGTTGGATAGCCATGGTTTCATACTTTATTTACAACAAGTGGAAGCACCCAGTACATTTTTGTAGCGACAGGGAAGAAAAACATCTCTGTGAGCATAGAGCAAAGGTATGACTAAATTTTTTGTTAAACTGGGTAAGAAGACTAAAGTATTTTTAAAATGTTACAGAACATGTATGGTGATGAAATACTAAGTTGTGTTTCATTACTTTATCACTTCAAGTATGCTAATATACAAGTGATTGTTCAAGAGCATTCTAGTAGGCCTTTCCTGTGCCAATGCATGTCAGCACTTCCATGGGCAAGTGACTATCATCCAGACACATTGAAAACCCATTTTCGGACAGTCATCAGGAAGAAGGGCTGGACTTACTCAATATTTTTTTTTTTTACATGAAAATGGCTGGCCACATGTTACTGTTATGACATCAGTAGAAGTGTCTGATTTGATAAGATAAAAAAATTCTCCATACCATGTATTCATGTAGCTCAGAAGACAACTGTGTCTAAATGATAAAGATCTCTAGATGAAGAAAAGCATGCATTCTCACAGTGCTAAAAAGGATATCTCAACACAAGTCTTTTCATATTTTATAATCAATCATAAAATGCTGTAAACAGTACAAACAGAAATAAAAGATTGGAAAAAAAATGTTAGGTCAACAGAATCCTCTGATTCCGAATAACAGTCAGTCTTAAAACTTTTCAATTAGTGTATGTCAACTGTTGTTATGCTTATTGACACTTTTGTTACAATCTTTAACTTTTCCAAAGTTACATATATTAAAAATTAATTTTATAAAAACTCAACCTCGATTTAATGAAGCTCAATTTCACAACATTCAGAAATACAAAAATCACAATACCACAGATTTAACAAAACTTCCTCAATCTAACAATGAAGTTTCACAGATTAATGTTATCTAACATTATAGCATGGCATTTTCCTCTGAATTAAAAGTTCTCAACATTTCATTCACTGTGACTATTATGTGTGTTTCTAATGCTATAAATTACTATTAACAAGTTAAAATTTGTAAGTATCAAACAAATGAAAAAATTTATGGCAACACAAAATAAATGCCAAAAATATCCTATTTTCAAAGCAATGATGGAATAGGTGAAATATGTAATAAAGTTACCTCTACTTAAGAGCAAATAGGGCTTCAGAGTAGCCCTCCCTCCATTTTTCCCTTGATGGTGTTTAAACATAAGCGAGTAAGTGTTAATATTTATTAAAGAATGGTCAGCTCTGCTGTAAAATTTGAAACAAGCATAGCTGCATTAAGATTTTTAAAAAAGTAATATTTCTTCTGTGTTTTTAAAATATAAAATAGTTAGGTAACTGGTAAGAGCAAAAAAATATAATGAGTTTCTAATATTTCTATCTGGTTTAAAGTTGAAATAAAATGCATCTTTAATTTAACAATAATATGCATAAAGCCCACGAGAATCCCTAAGCTGAGGTTTAACTGCGCATTAATTTTGAGAAAAAAAATGTTCTTGTTTTCACTGCCATGTCTTTACACTTTGAACAAAACTGCAAGCATATGGAATTTATATCTCAACTTTATTCAAATGTCAAGGGGTTAAGCTTGCAGTTAAGTGGTGAAATGCATTTTACATGCAGAAAACAAACCTTTATTGCCTTGGTTTTTCGATACAAACAATGTATTCAATTTAAGCCAGCAACATGACACCTCTCATCCCTTCAATGGATTGGTTTAAATAAAAACTTTAAGATTTATTTCAGATTTCAACTTTGAAAAAGGTTTTATTGTCTAATTTCCATCAAAAATTTTGATTAAAAAAAAAAAGAGAGAGAGAGGAACAAAAAATTTAATCCGAAGTTCTTTCATAGGATTTCAAGAAGCATTTCTATAAAAGATGATGTTAATCAAGCCGTTATGACACAGGTATATGAATTAGGAAGACAAGTTTTCAAACTGACACTTTCAAATATCAGCCTGAAAGAAGCTACATTTTAAATGTATTTTTTGTCAGTTTCTAATTAAAGATCAGATTTATAGACTAAATGCAGATTGATACAAACAAGAAATTCAGTAAAAAGCATATATGAAGATAGATTTAAAAAAACTCAATATGCACTTAATCTAAATTAAAAAAACAATTAATTACCTTATATTCAACTCTTGATGCAGGTCCAGGAGATGGAGTTGAGGTGCTATCCCAAAACTCATCATCCGTATCGAGCATACTTTCATCACTTGCTCCTTTCTTAAGAAAAGGTATCCTTTTAGGAGTACCTGCTGTATAAACACCTTCAATAAAATTTATAGTTATACAAGCTACTTAAAAACAAAACATAAATATGATTTCAAAGACATGAAAAAAAATCTTTTTTAACCAAAGATCATTAAATTTTGTCATAGATTTTTCTGTAACATTAACACAATAACAAAACACATTAAACCACCACGTAGAAAAACTTGACAATACTTAAAAATAGCGGACCACCAAAACAAGAAAAATAACAGCAACTCTTAAAATTTCAATTTTGAGAATATCGCAGATACCACACTTGCAGAAAAAAGTCAACATCTGACAAAATATTTCTCTCTCCGCCAGAAGCCTAGATGAAAGAAAACAGTCTCAGCTTGGGGTGTTATGGAATATTCTGCATAATGATACTTTTCATGAAAATTGTATGTAAAGTTTAGTTTCATTACTAATATGAAGTGCATTACAGCTCACAACAGAAAATGACTGAATATCTATAAATCAAAAACCCGAATCTTGCTATATGCTCCACATACCAAATCCAAATGCGGCCATTCACTGCATAATGTTATAAATGCTTGGAATTTTTAGTGAAGCCATTGTGCTGAGTAAGAAGCGTTAAATAGAGCACAATAAAAAACAGGTAATTCATAAAAATAACAGCTAAATGTTACTATAATTCAGTGCTAGATATATGCATCAGAAGTAAAAATTACATCAGTGATGTGGATTTACCTTTTTTTCAAGGGGAATATGTCAATAACTGAAAACTCTCAGACCCAAACACAAAATGAGAAAAAAACTTCAGCATTATTTTGAAACATATTTTTGTCAAGAATTAGCAGCAAAGTTTATAAAATAATGGAAAAATTTAAACGTTCAAGTACTTTGTTCAAAAGCAATAAATTGCAGCTGATTTAGAAGAAATAATAATGGCATCTGAAAATGATGCTAAAAATTTTTCTGTGTTAATATGTTACTTAAATGAAAAACTTGAAAGGTTAAAATCAGTCCTGAACAATAACTGAATTTAGCAATAAAACTTAAAATTTATGAAATAAAATATTAGTTCAGACATTGATTGCAACTGACAAGTTTTGGCCAGATTTTTCACGGTCTTGATGAATCCATAGCTCGCAATAATATGCTACATGAAAATACCCTAATAATCATAAGTTCCTTTCATAGTTGGGAATAAAATAAATACTAATTTCCAAAGAATGCTTTAACTATATCTAAATCAAGGCAGTTTCTTTCACAAGTGTACAATGGGAAGCACAAGATGAAATTGTCTATTAAGATATTTGACAAAGAAAACTTAGAATATTATTTTCTAAAAACAGATATTTTTCCATATTAATTGTGAAAATGTGTCATTCCACTTATCTCTCTATCTTATAATGTGCATTAAACCACTTAGTGAATTTCTGCAGTTTTTTGTTGGTGGTGGTATGTCATTTTCTACATAAAAGCATTTATCAAACATGATTTTGCTAATTGCTGTACAGCAAAATCATCTGTTTGCTCAAAATATGAACTGCTAATTTTCATAAATATAATAAATAAGGAACCTCCTAAAAATATCTTAATCATATAGCAGATATATGTTACATGACTTTTAGATAAATATTTATTATAAAATAAACTGCCCTCAAACAAAAACGTGAAGTTTCACTTTTGATGTGAATGTGAGATCTAAATTTTGCAACATTAAAGGAAATATGGTTTTTATAGAACATTCCAGTGCAGTGTCATTCCAGTCAGCAATGAAAATGACTCTTTTTCAGCAACCATACAATTCTACCAATAATAAAATTAAGAAAAAGCATTTACAATAAATCATACTCAATGGTCATTTGTCTATCACCTTGTAGAGACATTAGGTATTTTTGAAGAAGGAGAGATGAAAAATTAGCAAAGCCCTCGCCGAGACTCGAATCACGGACCTCTCGAATATGCGCCGAGTGTGCTGATCACTACACCACAAAGCCATGCTAAGCAAAATACCTTATATACTTCCCCTTTTAAAGGGCGACTGGACAAGAGGGGAATCAATCCCAAATCCTGGTGGTAAAGTATCATCATCCACCACCTTTTTTAGTTCATGCGCCACTGTAGAGACATTAGGTATTTTTGAAGCAGGAGAGATGAAAAATGAGCAATGCCCTTGGCCAGACTCGAACCACAGACCCCTCGAATACGCACTGAGTGTGCTGACCACTACACAACAAAGGCATGCTAAGAAGGTGAGGGGAATACCTTATAACTTAGCAATTGTTTCTACACACAATTTAAAGTAACCATTGTGATAAGTATGGAAAATGAGTGTGGATACCAAAATAAGTCTTTAAAAAGTTATCTTCATTCTTTTTGCTTAGCACATTAATTTCATCAATTTTTTTTTATGTTCTGTTTTCAATTAGGCATATAACATCACACTTCTCTTATTTCATACTTAATTCATCACTTACTGATCACACTTTTTAAAAAAATATATACATATATAATCTGTGTATGAGACTTCTAATCTGATTCAGTTTACTGAAGTTCCACACAGTAGTTTTATTAATTCTAAAAAAGATTATTCTGAGTTAAACTTCGTATTCCACAGTAAGTCATTTCCAAAGCTGGAGCATTACTTTTTTCTTAAGATGCATATATAGATCAGATATCAGGGTACCCATTTCAAGTTAATTTTAACCAGCAACTACTGGTCATGGGGTCCTTAACACATTGACAGCGGCACGGCTATTCATTGTTCTTTTCGTGAAGCGGCGCTTGAATTAGCGTTTTGCATCATTTTAACGTTTGGGAGGAATAATTTATGAAAATTCATTTAGAAAATATGAGATTATTTTAATTATATAATAATGCATCTCTATGCCAACCATTCATAGTTTCAGATGATGCTGATCTGCTGCAGGGGTAGTAATTTTAGAGACATTCATTACAAATACTTGTTTATATTCTAAAAAAATATTGGTTATTTTCAAAGCAGGTCCTTTGGGGAAGATATCAAAACGACAGTACATTATATTTAATGCACAGATGCTATTTTTCATAAGACATAAGCTAGGAATTTAAAATTCGGTTTCATTATTCAGAAACAATTTTTTTGCCATTCAGCCTTAAACTGTATGCGCTAAAAGCCACCATCACCTACGGATTTTCCCATGATGATCGCCTTTGGAAAAGAGCAGTATTTATCAGAAAAAAATGTATACTGCGTAAAAAAAGGGGGGACAGTTCTATATCTTCTGTTCTTCATGTCTCGAAAGTGCGACTTAGGATATATATTAGATTTATATATAGCACTATTCTAACATAGGTATTTTGACACAAAATCGGACTTTTTATGAAATAACATACCAATTTTTTTACATATTTCGATTCTACGACTCAAATTATGCCTAGATATCAAATTTTGTAAAATTTGGTGCGAAATTTACGGAGAAATTAAATAATTTATGTGGCGCTTTTTTCAGTTTACGTCAAAAATAGTTCACTTGGCAAACTTATTTTCTTTTGGCTACTGATATAGTGAGTGAACTTTTCTTCTTAGACCTCTTCAGCTTCATAAGTCACCAGTAGAAATAATGAGCACTTAATCAATCAGTGGTAATGAATCGTCAAAACTGGCAGCATAGGCCGATAAAATGTGGGAAGTAAAATCAACATCACATCAAATTGCTGCTGTTGCTTGTTCCAGTAGTGAAAATGTTCTAGTTAAACTACAACAGCAGGTTTCAGGGTTATCAATTTGCTAATAAGCTGAATAAAAGTAAGTTCTTCGTTAATCAACAGTTCAGACCCGGCTCTAGATGCAGTCCTATTAATAGCTGCAGTAACAGACATAACGATATACGTTTGTTATCATTCAAGGTTCGCCAAAGCTTTCAAAAATGCATTAAATCTTGCCAAATGGCCTAATATGTTCGACCTTTAGCCACAGGAAAACTAAATCCCCGGCTCTCACAGTCAATATAGAGTCAAGGGGTGGAGCTGTCTCAACTTTTTATTCATGACAAAGAGACCACCACCTAATTTTTAATACTGGTGCAGAAACCAGTATTAAATTATTGGAATACTGCACCAACTGGTTCAGAAATTTCTGAAATTTCATCATTACTGCAAGGAAAAAATCTGTGCCAAGATCATCCAACACCAACTCTTTGGTGCAAACGAAACCAAAATTAAGTTATGGACAAAAGCTGCTAAAATTAGATTTATGACTGAAAAAAGTATTTGATTGGCCTTTTGTGATTGCTGATATCAATAAAATAACAACAGTTATAGCCTTCTTGTCTCATTTTTCACCTTTTGGTTAACAATAAAAATCACAAATTAATTGATGGCATCATGTCCTTATCCTCTATTGGTACCCCCTGCTATCGTGTTGATACATCAGTAGAAATACAGTAGAAAATTACTATGAAGCTATTCTTAAACAATTTCCTGATGTCTTACGACCAACACCTGTCAATAATAAAATTAAGAATGACAACATTTGAACATTTTACAGAAACCAAAGAAGCTCCTCTTACCAACAGGGCTAGAAGATTCTCATCTGAAAAATTGAAAGCAGCAAAAGCGAAATTCGAGTTCATGCAGCAACAAAGTCTCTGCAGACAAGTTGTTGAACCAGTCCTCTGAATCTCACCTCCAAGAAATCGGGTGAGTGGAGACCAAGTGGAGAGTACATGGCCCTTAATGATATTGTCATCTCAGATCTCTATCCTCTACCATTTCTCACTAACTGTGGTTCACTATAAGAAAACTTTTTCATCCATAGACTTATGAGCTTTTCAACAAATTCTAGTGCACAAAGCTGACGTTTCAAAAACTGCCACTGTAACTCCATTTGGCCTGTTTGAATTTCTTTCTCCTGATGAAAAGTTACACTCTGAGCACTTTTTAGAAGGTTAAGTGACTATAGTTTATGTATAACTACTACAAAAAGTGTTTTTGTTGTTCCAAAATTTAATATTTGGGTTATGAAATTTCAGCTGAAAGAATTAGACCTCTCTTAAAAGGTAGTTGAAGATATTAAAAAGAAAAAAAAAGTTTTAACATTCCCTTCATATGCTTAAGGTAAATAAATAAAAAGCAGCTTTCCTCAAAAAGACTTGTGTGGATTTCTATGGTGCAAACAGACAATGCTGAAATTGATGAATGCATATTTTCAATTCATACGAGAATTCCGTTTTCAGAGTTGTGAAATGAGAAAAATTACTTTAATTTCTTTACTCTTTTATAATAATATATAAATATGCATTCACACATATACTTGATTATAAAATGCATTTGTATTTATATATATAATTATATATAAATACAAATGTTTCACTTCAGTAAAGTATTAACTTTTAACAAATTCTACGCTGTGGAATGGTAGTACCACTTAAATTATATGACAGATTAGTTCAACAATTTGTCCGTTTGGTCAACTGAAATATTCTGTGTGATAAGGATGACAGTATACTGTGATTAAATTATGATTAACCTAAACTGTATGATAAACACACTAATATTATTTTGTGATTTATTCTTTTCTGAAGCCCTTAAACAATCTATTACGAGCAAATGAACTACTTGAATTTTTAAAGCCAATTTAGCTTGTGTATGATTTACATCCTCTTTTCTTCAATTTCCGGTGTTGAATACAGTATGACACAAAATATAACTGCATTATAAGGAAAAAACATACTTCTTGTAGCCAATACATGTGGACATGATGACATTACTGAAATGTTTGGGACATCCTGTGTATCTCTAAAAATGCAGAAATAATATTGACCCCCCCCCAAAAAAAACCAGTGGTTATAAGAAGCCTAATAAAAGCTTCAATCTAGGCAGCATAAAAATTAATATAAATGATTCAAGTTAAAAACCAGTTAATATATTACCCATAAATACTACAGTCAAAAGTCGTTAATCCGGACTCGTCGGGACTTCGGCGATTCCGGATTATTGATTTTTCTGGATTATAGATCATCAATTTAAATCTGGTAGGATGGCATGCAGAAAATTATAAAATTAAAAATATGAAACAGTAATTTATGAAATAAAGAACAATTATGATCTAAAGGGTATCAAAATTTACAAAAAGAAAAAACTTAATATTTATTTGTTTACTTTATTAAACATTTATTTCAATGTAAGTTGTTTAAGTTGCTTCATTTCAGGCGATAATACTTTCTCTTTAATTCTATTAAACAGACATAATTTCTTGTTTAGTTACAAAGTTCCGCTGTTCAAGTCTTATAATTGCTGTGTCGAGAATACTGACTAATTTGTCAATCGAAATTTTTTCATTTTCAATAACCTCTGTGTCACATTCTTCACTATCGGAAGCGAATTATAATGACGAGGAACTTGATTTAAATCATATCAAAGACGGAGTACATCGAGATGAAATACTACATTTAGTAAGGAATTATAAGCCAAATAAAATAAAAACATCTGCCCTGAAGATAAGGATAGTGCTGACATATCAACTTTCAATTCATTGAGCGCTGTGTCGTTTCCCTCCCCCCGCAGAGCAGCATGAAATTGATAAACATATTTCGGAATGATTAGATAATCAAAGTATATGCCTTTATCCATTTTTTGCAGCAATTCCACTTTCTGTTTAATGGACTTCGAAACATACTTTTGCTTCGTAGATCCTTTACATATTAGTAAATATCGGAAATTCTATTTGACATAATCGAAAGTTCAAGCTTACTTTTATGAAATTGCTCTAAAAGTCTGCAAAAAATAATAAGCCGGATCCAACCCGATTAAATTAAGGAACAACGCAATCTGCAACATCAACTGAATTAGATAATTTTAGCTTAGCTTATACCGTCCGTTATACATTAAACGCGCATTCGTAAACGTATTATGCACATGTGCATGCACACATGCATATTTGCAGCCGTAAAGGTCTTACGCGCACGTGTAAATGCCTATGCGCATGCGTCAACGCGACGCATGTGCAGAAAGTTTGTAGCTTTGAGGTTCGGATTATAGATCATTCCGGATTATGGGTGTCCGAATTAACGACTTTTGACTGTATATTAAAAGCATTCCTGCCAAAAAAAAAAAAAAAAAGCAGACAAAATATTGTGACTAAACCTATGCCGTGCATGGAATATACATGATGATAGCGGATAACTAAAATGATGATGCAATACAGGAAATATGGAATTTGATAGAAGAATAACCAGAATAAATTATTGAACAATTCTCCCTGCCATGCAGCGGTATAGAACTCTATATATTATATGAACGACACAAAAATCAGACATGTTCGAAAACTAAGCAGTGCAGCTCTTTACATTAGTATTTTTTAAGGCAATACTAATAGATTTATAGTTATTTATTACTTTCCACTGTTCTACTTATATAAAGAAGAATTCAATTCCCTTCATGTAACATTTATTACACCTATAAATTATAGAAATGAAATTCTTACAAAGGGATGGAAGGGAAATAGAAATAACTTATTTAAAAAACAAGCTCAATCAAACAAAAATTAATTATTTTAGGATTTTCATTTAGAGTGCTCACATTAGAATCAAATAGAATTCTTTAAACATCATTTTAAAGAAAAGGAACACATCACTCCTAGCTATAAAGACAAAAATTTAAATTTTTTTCCAGCTCTTCACAGCGTACAAAACTAATAATAGCCAGTGTATGTTAAAAGACGAAAAATAATTTTATATACATCTTAATAATTAAAAAGCAAACTATTTCTCATAAAATAGAACAATGTAGTATGATAAATAGTATACAGCATGTTCACAAAAGTCCTTAGGCAGATGTTGTTTTTACAGCCAATGGTCATAAACATATACTTCCAAATACAAAAATGTTCTGACAAAGTATTCATGCTTCTTTTATTTTGATACCAAAATAATAATAATAATATAAAAATTACTAAATCTTAATTTCCTACACATTCACCCAGTCCTTATATTTAGGAAATCTGTATAGTCATTATAAAAAATAAAATACAAAAAATGAGACTCCCATACAAAGAATTTACTAATGTGTAACATTCTTAAATTTACAATTTTATTACAACTGGCAGGCCCAAAGAAATTTCACACAAGTAATTTTTGTTTTTAGATGCTAATAATACATCATTAATACTCTCATGAAATTTTATTGCTTTAAGACCATAATCCCATACAACAAATTCATTAAATTCGAAATATTTTTCATTTTTAATTTATGCAAATAAGATATTACAAGTTGGTTATGTGCCAATACTGAAACCTGCCAGTGCTTTCTAGAACACTAATTCTATAAGATTCTGTGAAAAAGACCTTCTTTTGAAATATCATATTGGTTGATACTTTTCACAACAATCTGCATAGATATGCTTGTCACATAGCTTATTAATAACAAAAGCCTTTTTTTTAAATAATGTTTTATTTGAGTACAAATGAAAACATTTTGTTCTTCAATTTGTATGGCTCCTGAAAATGATGTCAAACTAAAAATTATATATTTGGTTCAATTTTTATTAGATGGATGTCATATTTTTTGTACTTTTCCTTCAATAATGAGTATGAAATCTTCCTAACTATAAATATAAGAACCAGAGGAATGTACAAAAAATCTGATTTCATAATTTTTATAAAGCCTTTTTCTTTAACTCTTTCGCATCGAAGTCACCTCAAACGCCCGAGCATTCAGACATCGGCTGGATGCCCAAAACGCCTGAATAATTTCCTACCTAGTGCTTTCTCCCATCACGTTACTGCATTACTCACTGCTTTCAGGTGTTGTTAAATGACATGTAAATCATTCTTTTGAAGCTACGAACAGTAGTTCTATTATTTTAATGTTCCTTCACTTTCCTTTGTTTACTGTCAGTGTTCAAATTTTGATGCTCGAAGTAGCAATCCCATCCCAAGGGGGAACTTCACACAGGATGAAAGTGTCCGAGAAAGAAGTTATCACTTTACTTAAGTAGGTTATTGCTATTACTGTAGTATTCAATTTGTCATGCGGGAAGGAGAAGCACTCCAGGAGAAATTCTTAAGACACGGGCATTTTCGATGTTTGGGGAAAAGAGATTTCGCCCTTTCTCGATGTGAAAGAGTTAATTAAAAAATGGCGAAACATGAACATTTCCATCATTTTTCTGTAAGTGGAATGAGTCTATGACTAAATGTCATAGAATAAGTCTGTGACCAAAAGTTGCAAAAATAAAGGCTAGGTAAGAACTATGGTGGAAAGGATGTGTAATTCAGAATGTCCTTTTATGCAGCTTCACAGTATACAATAAATTCATACTATGAGGATAACTTTGCCTTAAGAAAAATAACTTTCTACAAAATTACAAATTAAACTGCATGTATAATCATGTAAATATTTTTTTGCACTGAGAAAAAATACATAATAATTCAATATTTATATTTTCATTTATAATCTTCACATTCTCTTATTAAATTATTTTATAGCTATACATTGCATTATGTTTTTAGTGTGAAAAATGTAAAATACTTGACATTCCACAATGAAATTTTATGTCTACCTCCTCTAATTTTTGCTGTTACTTCTTTTTAATCAACAATACTAATTTTTATTAAAAATGATTAAATTCCTCTTTCATCAAAAGCAAGTAACTGAACTAGAACAATGCATAATTTGAAAAATCTCACAGGAAACATTGATAAGATCCGAGAACTGCATGTTCTATCATATATTTTTGAATGAAAATAATTTTTTAATTGTAAGGCAGTTATCCAGAAAAAGTGCAGCAACGCTTATCTAAAATGGGTTTAAAACTGCATCCATACAAGTTTTAGCAACTTAAAGTTTTGTTACAAGATTAGGTTGAGAAAATTTTGTGGACATTCAAGTCATAGCATCTTGCAGATATTTGATACAGAGTAATTACCTGAAGCACTGGTGATAACAAACATCTCATCATTAGCTGAGTGTATTTTTACATTAGAACTATCTGAAATATCTTCAGAGTCACCATCAAAACTCACAGAACCATCACCACTTTGATCAAAATTACTCCTTGAATCTTCCTCATAACAACATAGCTGATCATCAACTGAAAAGAAAATAAAAATATTTAATTTCCTCTTCTTAATTTAAAAAAAAAAAAAAAAACTAAATGTTTTGCTTCAGAACTGGTTTTTATTAAATAGCTTGCTATCTAAAGTAACAGATGAAAAAATATAATTTATTCAACAATGGTTAATTTTGAGTACTTTCGTACTTTTTTCAAATATTTCTCATTAATAAAAATTTTGATATAGTTTTATATCAGGACCACTCTACTTTCCGTAAGTATAAGGTACTAGTGTCTCACAGGAAATGTCCAACCATTTATTGTCCAGATAACAGGACCCATTTGAACATTTCAACTTTCTATAGTTTTGAATACATTTCAGTTTTTCCTATCTGCTTCCATCCAGAAAAATTGCAAATCAAAGTCTAAAAACTCTATTAGAAAATCATGAATATGATCCTGCTGAAATGCAGTTTTGTATATTTGCAACACACCACAACATTCTCTCTGAATCAGTATAAAATAGCCTTTCACAGATTCTTTCTCTTAAAAACTGAATATTTTAAAATTTCATTTCAGCATATGACAAAATGTGCAGTCTATTGAATACATAGCTCATACCTGGGGAAAACCATATACTTTTCTTTTAAATACATAAATACGAATTTAATATTCCTTTTGGCTGAGAAGAGCGAGTTTAGTTAGACATTTGATAGCATCAAAATCAGGGATAGGAAAATTTCTTAGTTTAAAAGAATGCACTGAATAAATTTAGCTAAACTTCAAAATTGACATAGCTCTAAAGGCCTGTATAATACACAGAAAAATATAAGAAAAATAAGTAAATCATAAGAAACATTAACTACTTCATTTATATCACTTTTCTTTATTGTTTACAGACAAATGCAACAAACATATGACCACAGTAAACTTAAAAGCCAATTATAACCTGTGAAATATGTGTTCGAATGCTGGTTTTGAAATACCAATGTCTGTTGGTCAATTATGTAAATTAATGTGTTTAAGTGTTAGATTTTGAAATAGCAGTGTCTATTAATCAATTATGCAAATTAATACTTGCATTACATATAAGTTTTCATATAAATAAATAAACTACCTAAAACAGAAACATGAAAGATTGCAATAAATCAAGATGAATCAAAATAATTTTGTGGCGAAAGCACATCAGAAGTATTATGATGCTTGATGCTAAGCAAGTAAATTTTTCCCATTCAAAGAGAAAATTTATCAGTGGACTACCACTTATGCTAATAATATTCCAAAACACATTTCTGGAACTTGAACATAGCACATATGTATAATCTATAGTTTTTTCATACTTTTCATAACATGCATTTTTTTGGGTGTATGAGTGTGTGTGTGTTGAAAGGGGTAAATATCTATATAATTAAGCTACAATACTTTCAACTTTCATAATGGGTTTTTCAAACATCATCCATAGAACATTAGTTTAATAGTTTAAAAATGCCAATCATAATAAAAATAAAAAACTTTAGAGCTAAAAAATATTAATTTTGAAACTGATAAACTCAAAATTGAGTCATTTTCAATTAAGTTTATCAAGATTAATCAAAAAACTCTATTCGAGTTAGTTTGAATGAAAAAGGTTATACTTTATTGTGTGTTCCAACTTACTTCAAAAAACAGAGTTTTGTCTGAAGTGACATAAAAGATTTAAATTAATGTACAAATCAGTTTCACTAGCTATGCACTACCTAATGGCTGTTACAAAAATATATATAATGAAAAAAATATTGTTAAAATTAACTAATCTTTTATAGTTTTGATAAGAATGATTTTTAAAAACCTTGAAGAAAATGTTATTTTACTGCACAAATTTTCTGTCTCAACAACTTTTGCTACACAGGTAATGTTTTAAGACTTACATGCAAGCAATTTCTTAAATAATTATGTCTTTTCTTTATGAAATAAATGCAAAATTCCCTTATGGTATTAATTTGTGGTGGAATAACACCAGAGCAAGCATTTCAACCAATGATTTGGCATTACTGTTTTGATCAATTTCTTTTTAGAGTATGAATTTATGTTCGGTAGGTAGAATTTCTGGGGATTTATTCTCAAACTCACTTTGATTCTCTGCCTGGAATTGTGCTAATTAGATTTTGTGATTCATTTTCATCTTTTGAAGCTATTCTCATTTGTCCATGAGCCATTTTCATTTTTTGAAGATCACAAAACATCTAACCTTTTTCATTAGCCGGATCCATTTCGAAGATTAAGGAACAACACAATCTGCAACATTACTTGAAATAGATAATTAAATAATTTTAGCTTATACCGTCCGCTATACATTAAACGCACACGCGTAAACGTATTATGCGCATGTGTAAACGCCTATACGCATGCGTCAACACGACACATGCACAGAAAGTTTGTACCTTTGAGGTCCGGATTATGGGTGTCCGAATTAACAACTTTTGACTGTATTACACATTTAAGTAAGAAAAGAGTAGCAGAAAGTAGTTTTCTTCGTTGCCAAAAAATCTAAGCATGAATAATTTTGAGGATGGTTTTTTTAAAGAAGGAGAGTGCTAAAACTTATTTTCAGGAAGTCATGGTACAGCTTGATGTGAATAAAGTATAGTAAAGTATAGAAAACAAAAGTGCTCCCTCCGGCCATCAAGCTGAAACACCTGAAGACTGATGAGAAACACATGCTGAAACACCTGAAGACTGATGAGAAACACATGCTGAAACAGTTGGTAAGTCAGTTTTCTAAATTATTTAATAAGATCCTTGTAAACCACAGCACCAAAATTGTAAACCACAGCATACATGCATGAAATCCTCGCCATACAGCAAAGCCCTACTGCTATGACAGAATCAAAGAGCATATCATCGAAAAGCATATTAACCCTGAAACCACCAATTCTCAAATTTTTTTCTCCTCTTCTTTCCAAAATTTTTGAGTGTAAATCAATTGATTACTGATCTTTTACCTCTAAATAACACAAAATGACTGCAGAATCATACATGTTTTAGGTCTTAGTACTTCAAATCGGATGCCTTTTAAAATTTGTTTTCAATGAAACAAAATAACTTCCTTTTATTAATATAAACAACTTTAAATTTCAAGTTATTCATCACATATCATGATTTCTATCATAAACAATCAAAAATTGCAATAATTTAACTGCATATATATATAAAAAAAAAAACCTCTATATGTATGGCATTTGTTTTGTGGTTTCAGGGCGCAACCACTGAGCCACCAGAGCATTGTGTCACAATGCTCACAATCCTCTAGAGGCTCGGTGGTCATGCCTTCAAGCCACTGCTCTTCACAATGGCATTTGCTAGCTTTTCAAATAGGAATGTTTATTTTTACCCGGATACAGATAAAGAGATTTGAAACCACAGAGTGATTGTATTACTAAACAGTACATACGCCTGCCCAGTAAAAAGGTCTTTCTTTTCCAGAGACTTTTCTCTGACCTCAACACACTCAGGGTTCGTAGCCACATTTTAGTTACAAAAATAAGCACTTATAAGCACTTTTCAAGCACATTTTAAGGAAAAAATAAGCACCTGTCTAATTACATTATATACAACTGCATAACCTTGAAAGAAAAATTAGACTTGTAATTTAAAATATGAGCAATGCAATATTTTATTAAGAGAATGAGCACTGAAATTTCAGTTCAAAATATAGAAAATAAATAATAAAAAGCCATATTAATTGTATTCGTTTTGGACCTAATAATAAATACAATTTATTTTTCCACTCATATTACTATTTAAATAATTTAACTTAAATTCTGAACATTTTCTAAATTTTCATTGCATAACAGTTTTCCCTTAACATGTATTCCAAGCAAAGTAATTTAACCCCTTAACTGCCACGGGCGTATATATACGCCTTGCTCAGCTGATGCGTTAACTGCCCCAGGCGTATATATACGTCCTTCCAAACTGCTATCATTTGCTTTGCGCTGCTACACCTAAAATTATTCGCAAAGTTAACGCATCGGCTGCGCATCTGGGGCAGTTAACGCATCGGCTGCGCAAGGCGTATATATACGCCCGCGGCAGTTAAGGGGTTAAGTAAAAAAGAGGCACATTTCTGAAATCAGAAGACGGGAAATTGCTTCATGCAGTCATCCTTTAACAGTAAAAGCTTAACTAACCTGCATACTTGGAAATTGCCGAATATTCCGGATAGTAACTGGAAAAAAGAGGAGTGGGGAAGATTGTAGCCGTTCTTTAGATTTCTCGGCTAAATAAATGATTTTGACATTTCGATATGTGCATCATGTAAAAATAGACCAATGGAACTGAGAAATATTCTGCTTAGAAAGCACAGTAAAACTCATTTTAGTGTTCATAAACAAATCTCGGACTGATCATCAAAATTAATTATCTCTGCAAAATCCTGCAAACGTTATTGCGCAATGCGTGCGGCGTAGTTCTTCCACACATGATATTACGCAATCGGAATCAACAGCTGCCGCATATACTCATAATATAAGCATAACGATCATAATAAACATGAATATGAACTGACCACGCGGAACGAGAATGCAAATTATTAAAATCTTGATAGAAATTCAAATGTGTGTAGTATTTGGGTGGGAGGAGAAGAATACTGAATGTACCGGAATTTTCTATCGTTTTTCGCAATTCTTTGACCAACAGAACGACGTGCACCTGTCTGTACTCTCGTGCATACCATAGCTTACGTTAATGGAGAGAAAGGGGGGAAAAGCAATTTCCAGGAGTATGATTCACCATCTGACGTTGCATATAAGGAAGAAAAGTTGTTTATTTAGTTTCGGCTTTGGTACGGGGGGCAAATGCGCGTTCATTAAAAAAAAGCACTAAAAGCAAAAAATAAGCATTAAAAAAAAAAAAATACGGGCTTTAAAGAAAAAGTAAGCACCTATAAGGGCCTTTATATTTTATTTTCAAATATAAGGACTTATAAGCACTTGTAACGACCGCTATGAACCCTGACACTTGCTCCCCAAGCAAGTATTGTGATTTTGTAAATTATTTTG